CAGACGCACCGTGCGTGAGTGTGTGAGGAGGCAAAAAAAAAAAAAAAAAGGAGAAAAAAAAAGAATTGCGCGGATAGTTACAACGCAAAACAACGGCCCAAACACGTGCGGCACGCCGACACACACGAGGAAACATTCGGTCGCTGCGTTTACTTCCAAAAAGCAAAATTCATAGGATAGAAAAAGTATCATAAAGAAATGTATTCGTTTTATCAGGATAAATATATATGTATATATACATTAATTAAGGCCGCCAGCTCTCCCGCGATCATTCTCTTTACAAGCTCCCATAAAAAAAAAAAAAAAAAGAGATTACTCTCAAAAGTAGAAAAAAAAAGTCCCAATTCCAAAAGGCGCACAGAACTAAAAAAAAAAAAAAAACGACAAACATAAAACTAAAAAAAACAAACAGAAAAAATGCAATACGGTTAATAGTTTAATTTTCTTTTTCTCATTTTATTTTTAGCGGGAGGTCTTGACACCGCACCAGCGTCTACTAGCACCATGCAACAAAACAGAACAGTGTGAAAGAAAGCAGAGGCAGTAACAGTAGCGGTGGTGCGTATGCAGGCGCATAGTTGCTGCTGCTGTCACTCCCACTGCGTCTGACTCGCCTACGGCCGCTTCCTTCACTCTCCTGCTCTGTGCTCTGCCGTTTCCTGGCGAGTTCCAACTCGGCGACACGTTTCTCAGCCGCAGCAGCGCGATTGAGTGCATTTTCGGCCTCCGCCTCCTTTTTCTCTACCTCTTCCTGAATGGACCGTTTTTCGGCTTCCAATTGAGCCTTATGTTTTTCCTTTTGCAGCCTCTCATTCTCAAAAAACTTTTCCTTCAACATCTCGGCCATCGCAACGACTTCCTTGACCGTATCCAGAGCTGCTGCAGCTTTTTTTTTTGTCTCCGCTGCCCTCTTCGCCGCCTCTGCCGCCTTCGCCGCCTGAATCTCTGCCTTTTGCGCCTCATTTTTGGCGTTCGCCGAATGTTTACTGACATTCGCCAATTTGTCAGTCGAATCTGCAGAGTTCTTTCGCCAAAACTTGGAATGTTGCAGCACCTCCAGGAGAGCAGCTAAAGCCGCGGTATCAGCATCAACAGCAGCCTTTTCCGCCTCCACACAGCTTTTCAGCGCCTCGTCGGCGTCGTTGCTAGCCTTCTCTGCATCCGCCAGAGCAGCACTTGTTGACACATAGCCCCCGCCAATCTTACCAAAAAGCTTTTTCGCCTCTTCGGCGTATTTCTTGGCCTCTTCGGCATCCGCCTTGGCCTGCATGCATTGCATTGTCGCCCCTGTCGTATTGTCAAAGGCATACTTTGCTGCCAGCAATGCTTTGTCCCTCAGTTCCCCCAGTTCCAATTTGGGCGGCACACCCGTCTCATCCCCTGGAGACGATGAAGACGGTGAGACCAATTGCGGCTGCCCTCCCTCTGCTTTCCTTGGCGTTGCCGCCTCCTTTTCTGGTGAATTCGCGCCGACAAGTACGCTGCAGGAGAGTAGAAGAAGAAACGAGAAAAAAAGCCTATTACGCGTCATGAACGTCTTCTGTATGGCACACTCTTGTAGGCGAAAAAAAAAAGAAGAAAAGAAAAAAAAAACGGATCACAATTCAAATCACCCGCAGCACGCAATACATAAAAAACACACCGAAAACGAAACAAAAAAAAAGTTATAATTCGAACAAAATGACACAAATTTTTCCTCAGAGTAAAAGTAAAAAAAAGAAAAAAAAAACAATAAATAAAGGCATCCAGAAGGTCAACGAGCGCAGTGGTAGCTGCCCAAAGTTAGGGTGAGGAGCAGTGCAGGGCCCGAAAAGTACAAAAAGGAACAGCAACAAAAAAAAAAAAAAACACATCACGCATGCTTATTAAAAGGAATCTCACTTTAAAAATTTAAACAAAAATCAAAACAAACGACAACACAACACTGTGCAAATAAAAGTAGAAGTGAATAGCACCCACACACACACACACACATAAATAAATGACATCGCCGTTCATACACAGAAAATCTCAGTTTCCGTAACAATAACCTATCTTAAAGTATATAAAAAAAAACGCCATTGCCACCTTAAAGCTCCTTCATTGACAAGAACTGCAACACAACACTCCACCCAGCCCAGCCACGCACCCCTCATGGCATTCTCGGCGCGTTCATTTCCAACGTACGCCTCCTCCCGGTCCCTCGCTCTTCGCCTCTCCTCCTCCTTCTCCCGCTGCCGCAGCAGCGCAATGGCCGTTGCGGCAACATCTTGTGCCAAGGTCCGCGCCGCTGCTGCCTTCTCTGCTGCTTCCCGGGTTTTCTGCGCCGCCGCTGCCGCCTTCTCAGTCTCCGCCTCCGCCTCCTTTGCCTTCTCCAGAGAAAGCACAGTCTGCTCCGCCGCCCTCTTCAACAGCTCCGGTCCACTTCCAACCTTGGTCTTCTCGTCCTTCACATGCTTCAGCACCTCCCCAACGGCATCAAGCGTCATTATCCCCGCCGCCTGTGCAGCCTCCTCTGCCGCCTTGCATTCGGCCACGGCAGCATCGGCCAATTTCACAGCCTCCTCCGCTTGCTGCAGCGCCCTGCTCATCCTTGTAGCCTCAGAGCCGAGCTTCCTCAAAGCATTCTTAGCCCCCTCTTCATGCTCCCGCGCATTCTTAGCGCTCATTCCTGCTTGCACGCAGTGCCGGTTAGCCTCATCAGCATACTCCTGCGCCTTCTGCATGGCTCCCAACACCTCTCTCAACGCCCCCCTCATATCAGCCGGTGGCGCCATAGAACTGACATTCTCAGTGACATTATTGGCTGTGGCAGAAGCCGCACACACGGAATTAGGAAAGCAGCAGCAGAGCGCAAAAAAAAACGGGGCACACAAGAAAGGGCGCTTCACCATCACCGCCAGCATCGCAAAAAATGGACTTGCTTAACACTGTAAAGCCAACCTTTGACGGCATGGGAGAGCAAGGAGAAACACGGCCACCACTCCAAACACACAGCAACCGCACAAGAGCAAACAGCAACAGCAAACAGCAACAGCAAACAGCAGCAGCACAGACACACCCCATGAGGCTGATGGAGTCAGCAGAAAGGCAAAAATATACAGACACGGCCATGCAGCAAAAAAAAAAACAAGAAAAACAGAGAACTGCACCCAAAGACCCCAGTGCTCATAGACCCACCCACAATTATGCCTCCACAAAAAAAGTCGTATGCGTGTCATGCATACGCGTATTTCTGGGGTGCGTGCCGCGTGATGAATGTGCGGAACAAAACAGAGCACACGGCAGGGCAGCAGAAGCGCGCAAAAACACAAAATCTTACAAAAGCATAAGTCAATGGTTCACGTGTGTTGGTATATAAAAGTATATACATGTATATATACATACGTGTAACAATCCCCCACAGCGTGTGGGCAAGTGTTTCTCGCCGCGGACGGAGAAGACAAGGTACTCACAATCGCCCCACACCACGCACAGAAAAGTATTTTAACAATTCCCCACCACAAAGACCCTTCGCACCGGTGAAAAGCGGCGGCTTTTTTTAGTTTATTTTTAACTGTTTCTCTTTTTTTACAACAGAATCACAAAAGTAAAAAAAAAAAAAAAAGAGCTTAAAAGAAGTGGAACTCACCGCGCTGGGCAGCACGCAATCGCCTCGGTTATGCCGCCTAGCACGATAAGAAGCCGAAAACGGATGCCACGGCAGCAAGCATCAGAAGCGGTGCACGCAAAAGCAATGGAATGCCGCCGCCATCCACCCGTGGTCTCGTCCTTTGAATGCGGGTGGCTGTGGAATTCCTGCCAGGCGCTGCGTCATTCCCCTTCTTCGCAGCAAATTTATTCATCACCTCAGCAACGGCAGCCTTCTTCGCGGCCTCCGCCTCCTCCCGGTCCCTCGCTCTTCGCCTCTCCTCCTCCTTCTCCCGCTGCCGCAGCAGCGCAATGGCCGTTGCGGCAACATCTTGTGCCAAGGTCTGCGCCGCTGCTGCCTTCTCTGCTGCTTCCCGGGTTTTCTGCGCCGCCGCTGCCGCCTTCTCAGTCTCCGCCTCCGCCTCCTTTGCCTTCTCCAGAGAAAGCACAGTCTGCTCCGCCGCCCTCTTCAACAGCTCCGGTCCACTTCCAACCTTGGTCTTCTCGTCCTTCACATGCTTCAGCACCTCCCCAACGGCATCAAGCGTCATTATCCCCGCCGCCTGTGCAGCCTCCTCTGCCGCCTTGCATTCGGCCACGGCAGCATCGGCCAATTTCACAGCCTCCTCCGCTTGCTGCAGCGCCCTGCTCATCCTTGTAGCCTCAGAGCCGAGCTTCCTCAAAGCATTCTTAGCCCCCTCTTCATGCTCCCGC